ACAACACGATCGTGTCCGGTTCGCTGGACGGCACCATTTGCATGTGGGACGCTGACACGGTACCGTGCACGCGCACCCAGTGCCTTCTCGCGCTTCTAACATGTATCGTGGGGCAGGAATCGCGCTTGTTTACTCTACACAACCTCGACAAAGAGAACCGACGCAGCGAAGTGCGATGCCTCGTCTTCGATAGAGATGCCATCGTGTCCGGCGACAGCGACTTTATGGTGAAGATATGGGACTGGAATACCGGTCAGCCCAGGTTCGTCTTCTTCGCCTTTCTCTCTGCGTGGGTGGCTCGGCTCACTCGCTTCTCGAACATGCTCTGCCAGGCGGACACTGAAAGGGCATCAGGGCTACGTCAAGTATGTGTACGTGGATGACTACAAAATAGTCTCAAGCGGTGGCGATGGCACAATTCGGGTACTTCCGCTCGTGTGCATGAGCCTGATGGCGTGGACGACGCGCTCTCTCGCATCACGGACCACTTTGTCTGAATTCTCCACTTTCTCTGCAGGTGTGGGACTATCGAGGCACGAGCGATGCGCCCCTGTACACGATACAGGCGCACACGCGAGACATCATCAACATGGACGTGCACGAAAACGCCTTCGCCAGCGGATCGCTCGACGACTCGCTCAAGATGTGGCTCATCGGGTAGTGACCCAATAAAACCCGGGTGATGACAAAGTACTTTGACGAAGAGGGCCACTTCGACGAGTGCTTTGCCACCATTGGCTGGCCGTTTCCGAGGCCCGACAAGAGACACGCAAAAGAGAAGCAACGCGAGGTCTGCAGTTGTAATCACACGTCTTGACATGAAGGTGCACGCTGCCGTAGCGGCAGCACTGGTGCGCAGCAGGCCCTCCATGTCTTTCTTTTGGGGGAACTAACAGAGCGCCCCCCCGGGGCTGGTACAGGTGCTGCTTCTTGTGGCGACCGGCGCGTACGGAGCTGGCATGCTGCAGGTGCAGGACAACCCAGCGCGCAGCGTAAAGGACTTGAGCGGCATCTGGCGCTTCAAGGTGCGCTCGACCTGTGCGGCTTCGCTTTCTTTTGCTTTCGCTTTTTTTTAACGTTGCCCCCCCCAACACAATGTGGGCGTGGCGGAGCGGTGGTGGTTGAGACCACTGGCGGCTCCCCTGTTGCACATGCCCGTCCCCGCCTCCTACAACGACATCACCCAAGGTGCACATACACCACCACCACAATGGCGTGGCAAGGAAGCCAACAAACAAAGTTTTCGGCGCTCACACCTCCGACCACAGACAACGAGCTGCGCAGGCACATCGGATGGGTTTGGTACGAGCGCGATTTCTTCGTGCCTCACACCTGGGTCAGCACTGGCCAGCGCATCGTGCTGCGCTTCGAGAGCGTGAGCTACGCGGCGTCCGTGTGGGTCGACGGCACTGCTGTACGTTCACCCCCCGCACAATGGAACAATCGCACCGGTCTGAGCCCGTGCTCACTTCTCCACGACCTAGGTCGTCAGCCACGCCGGCGGCCATCTGCCGTTTGAGGCGGACATTACCCAGCTCGTGAAGGGAACCGCACGCAGCCGCCTGACCGTGGCGGTGAACAACACCCTCACGCCCTTCACCCTTCCTCCCGGCAACGTGCGGGTCGAGCACGGTCCGCGCTACCCCAAGGGCTACACCGTGCAGGAAACCCACTTCGACTTCTGTACGCACGCGTCCCGCACTCCGTTTCGACTTCAGTGGAGCGAACAACGACTGATGTTCATTGAACCTTCTTTGTCGCGATGATGCAGTCAACTACGCCGGCATCGATCGCGAGGTGTATCTGTACACCACGCCCAGCCAGTGGATCGATGACATCACCCTCACCTACGACATTCAGGTAGCAGTCGCGACGGTCACTCCCAAAAGCTGTTGTTTGGGCGCTCACTTCTCTCCCCCATCTACAAATCAGCTGAACGGCGACGCGAGCGTCAACTATGAGTGTGATTGATCGCCATGATTGAACGCCCATGTGCAGACGCTCTCACCCTGTGGCAGCCCGGCAAGCCGTACCTCTACACCCTGGAGGTCACCGCCGATGATGATGTCTACCACCTGCGCAGCGTGGGCATCCGCACGATCAAGGTCTCCGGCACGCAGTTCCTCATCAACGGAAAGCAGTTCTACTTCCACGGCGTCGACAAGCACGAAGGTGCGTCGGCGCGCAGGTGTCGGCGAACGGGGTGCACATGTCGTACTCAATCGTCCCTGTGTGGTGGTGTGGGTAGACTCCGATATCCGAGGCAAGGGAGTGGACGACGTCATCGTGGTGAAGGACTACAACATGCTGCAGTGGCTCAATGTCTCGGCCTACCGCACGAGCCACTACCCTTACGCGCCCCAGTTCTACGATATGGCCGATGAGCGCGGAATTGTACGTACAGCGCACCACCTTTGACTCGGTTGCCATGTGTGGACCTTGGCTCACGCCAATTCGCGGTCTGCCTGCAGGTCATCATAGACGAGTGCCCCGCAGTCGGACTTGCCAAAGCTTTGTACTTCAACCCGACCACCCTGGTGCACCACAAGCAGGTACATGTCGGCTGCAACTGTCCGCCCTGGGTCGTGAGCCTGCATTCACCGCGCCTTTTCGCGGCGCTTTGCGCAGGTGATGTACGAAATGATCCGCAGGGACAAGAATCACCCCAGCGTGGTGATGTGGAACGTCGCGAACAAGCTGCGCTCGGATATGCACGTGGCCTACAACTCTTGGGTTCACAAAGCTCACAGAGCAGCAAACTCACATTGTCAATCCTGTGCTGTCTGCATTGGTAGATGTAGTCATTCAAACACAGTGCTCATTTAAAAGTGACAGTGACACTTTTCAATGAAATAAAAAAGTGGTGTACATAAAACACAAATTGATTTCAAGGCAGTGTACACAGGAGGAAGGAGGAGTTTTTATTTTACAGGTGTCTGAAGATCTCTTGGAGTGTGGCTGGTGGGACTCCAGTGTTTGGATGGAAGGTGAAGCCACATGCCAGAACAGTCCAAATCAGGACAGTTCCCTCAGTGCCATATTCACCCAGCAACCATTGGCACCTTTTCACCAGTGGACATAGAGCCACTTTTGAAGGAGACTGATGATCTTACCAATCCAAAAGTCCTGGGTGTCCTCATCTGAAGCAGCATGCAGCAAACCACAGACCTGGAGCAAAGTTGAACATCAGGAGAGGTCCAAGTCTGAACAACTTTGACTTTGGTCTGTAGGCAGAAGAGAGGACCATCAAGGAGAGGATTGGTGATGGGGTGAGCTGTGAGACAATCAAAAATCATCAAGTCACAGGTGGGCTGGGAAGATGTTGTCAAGGCAGTCCAAGCTTTGAAGAGGTTTGGCCATTCCTCAAGTTGAGAGGTCAGAACCATATCAACTCCTCTCTTCCATTCCTCAGGGCATGTTAACCATTCACCTACTGGCTGTGCTTTCAATTGAAGTTCATTTTTCCCTGCTCATTAATTCTTGCTCTTGCAGGAGCACCAAAAACCATCCCTCCTCAACCATTTCCTCCAGAAGTCATTACTGAGTGGCCAGGGCATCATCAAGAACTGAGATGCTCCTTTGCTCCTTGAACTTCTCCTTGGGTGTGATAGAACTTGTCCTGAATTACTGAATTACTGGTGTCCCTGAGGAATCACAGAAGATGTGGAAAACATGAGTTGCAGAATGGCTGCTTTGGCTGTGCAACTTTTCCAATCCCAAACTGTCTCAAGACTCTTTCTGACATGCACCACAAGTTGTCAAGAAATAAAAATTCCAATGCACACTGTTTTCACCAGGTCAGGCTGGGCCAGGAAGACATCAAGAAAGACAGCACCAAGGGTCAACTTCTGAAACTGTGGTGGGGAGAACCATACTGAGCATTCTTGCAGCTTTGGTAGAGCACAAAGTAGGTGATGGGAGTGGGTGTGGCAGTGCTCACACACTTTGCACTTGCATTGATTGCTGGTTTTGTATGTATCCAGCCATGGAATTTCTGTCAGGCCAAAGGCCTGGAAGACCCTATCCAACACCTCTTGCATTGTTTGCAAGCAGTAGCCACCACATCACAATGTAAATGCAAATTGTGGAATTGAAAGAATGCTTACATGAGCTTAGCACCACACACCCATGAACACAAGTGTGAAATCAGATAGGCCCTGACCAATGGTCAAGCAAGGTCTCTTGTGCACGCCAAGCCTAGACACGGTGGTTGATGCTGTTGGGAAAGACACACTGAGCGTCAATATAGTACTATCATTTTGGTCCCTTAACTGGTCTGTTGATGGTCAGGAAAACACAAGAGATCCCTCAATTCAACATTTTGGGAAGGTAAATGGTGGAAGCGTTTTAGCAAGACCAGGGTACATCTTGCACTGTGGCGTTTTCTCACCACTAACCTGACAATGAGGGTGGAGTCCTTCACATAAAGTCTTGTTGTGTGGCATGTACATAAGGCAGTATGGTGGGAAAAAGTTTGACCACCTTGTCTGCGAAAACCTTGTCCTCCAGGCTGCAGGCACTCAGGGAGGTGATGTCGCAGATTGCGTAGCTGGTGCAGGAGCTGGCTGGGGCTTGTCTTATCCTCTGGAGCTGAGATTGTTTCCTGCCAGTGGCGTGGGAGCATGGCAAACCAGTCCTTGAATGGCCCTAGCGTGGTGTCAAGTATTTTATGGAAGCGGCGGCTGGCGTTGCCAGACTTGGTCACCTCAATAATCAGCTCGTTCACCACTGTGCAGAGGAAGGTAGCATTCCAGGTGGCCGGGTGAACGAGGGCGTCGGCCAGGCAGAGGCGTCTTTCTGGCATGCACTTGGTGAGCTGGTCCACCAGGTCCAGCACCAGCGGATACCAAGGTTGATCAGCCTACCGCGGCCAAGCCACTCGGCCTGGCGGCCTTCGTCATCAAGCTCCATTGGCGAAAGAGTGCCTGCCGCGAGTGGCCAGGAAGTAGATGACGCAGCCCAGTGACCAGATGTCAGTCAGAGTGCCGCCTCGAACCAGTCGAAGTCCACCTTGTCCTTGAAGGCATAGATCTTCACGCTCACATCCCCCACAAGAGTTTGGAGGTGCGCGACCTCCTTGCTGAGCTGTGCTAGCTTGTCATTTTTCTCCTCTTCATCTTGGGGCAGACGCCACATCTTGACCGCCACATGCTTTTCGGTCCAATGACAATAGAGGGTAGACCTGGGCATCGCAATCGCGGTCGTTGACACCTCGAGCAGCACCACGCCGACCACCCTGACCCCAGTTGTGCCCAAGAAACGGGAGCAAAGGATATCACTTGGCTTCCAACAGGAGCTCATCTTCACAACTTGTTGCCTGCGGCTTTCCTCCATCAACAGTCTGATCACCAGTCAGGCCTGGTTTGGTCGCAGGCTGTGTGCCAAGGCTGAGGTCTGACATGCTGGGCAGGCCTGGCAAATTGTGCAGCTGCACTTCATTGAGTGGCCTGACCTCTTAACTTTTGCACACCTGGGTTGACCCAGACCATTTGCAAGCTGGCTGAGCTGGTAGATGCCCACAGGGAGGCAGGCTGACATGTGAGCCTTGATGGGTTGGTTGTGACCCAGTGCTTGGCTGGGGTAGGGTGGGAGGGCACACCTTCATTGCCATCCACATCAGCCTGGAGAAGATGAAGATGAAGCAGCTGGGACCTGACCAGCAAACTGTGGTCTACATTCCTTGCACCATGGCCCTGCTTCACCAGAGCTGAGATGGCATGGTGCAGACAGTGGGCAGTGTTGCTTCTTCTATGGGTTCCTTCTAGTACTGGATGATGTGGCCTGTAGTTGTGGACCTTTAAGTTGTGCCCCAACTCTGATTTGTGCTTGTGGTAACAACTGGGGCAGCAGAGCAAAGTGGTGGAATTTAGCACCACATGCACTGTGGAGTGGTTTGAGCGTGGTTATGATCACTGTCAGATGCTGGAAGGAGCACTGTTGGTCATGTCATTCTGGGCAGTACCAAATGCTCAGAAGCATTGGCTCACCAACATGCAGTGGTGACACCTTGGCCAGGCTCTTCAAAAGGAAGAAAAATTCCAACAAAGCCAAAGAGACGTCCACAAATTGAACTTGATTTGTGTAGATTGCTGCACAGTGCTTGGGAAATCCCATTGGCCCAAAATTACGCCTATTAATTGCAAAAAAAGTGCATGAGCAAAGAAATTATAACAAAAAAGTAAAGAGACTCCTGATCATGGCCATGATTGCTCCCACATACCAACTGAAGCTGGAGAGCACACTCAACACTATTCAGCAGGACAAACAGTCAATCAAAACAGTAGATGAAGGTAATTTAGTGAGGTGCCAATACCTGGGCTGCTTTGAGCGCATGCACCTTCAATTGATGATGGTCAAAGATTATTTGAGGCAGCGCAGTGAGTAGAGTGTTTTGATTGACTGTTTTGGTCACAGATGTAGCCACTTTAGGCGACACTTTGAACAACAAGAGGAACCTTGCAGAAAGAACTAGAGGACCAAGAGAATCAATTCCTTGCTCTTGAGAAGAGCACCACAACCCCCAAGACAAGTGGCACAACTCAAAAGGACAAGATCATGACCGTTGCCATCCTCAAGAAGACCATTGCAACCCAATGGATAGATCGTGTCCCTCAAAGCTGACATTGTTCAGGATGAGCCACCCAAATTCCAACTCAAATGTACTGTAAGTCTGGGATTCTCATGGGGCATGGCAGTGCACCCTGCCAATGGCCAGGTGCTGGTTTCATTAGAAGATGGCCCATCCAGAGTCAAGTTGCTCAACGCTGAGGGTTGGGTTCTGCAGTGCATGCAGTTAGTGGCTGGCAGGCCATGGGGCGCGGCAGTAGACGCCAGGAGAGGTCTTCTCATGGTGGCCAACTCCAAAAACCATAGGGTGCAAGTGTATGACTCCACCAATGGTCAGTTGGTGCACCAGTTGGGAGCACAGGGAGTGGGTCCTGGCCAGTTCCAGGAACCTTGCAGCATGATGGTGGACCTGGAGGGCTGCATTGTCATGGCTGACAGAGGCAACCATTGGCTACAGGTGCTGGACAAGGGTGGCTTCATCCATTCCATCAGAACCCAAGGTTCCAAGCCTGGCCAGTTATCCAGTCTCTGAGTGGTGGCAGTTGATGCACAGGGCCACAGTCTGTGACTGACTACAGCCAGCATTGAGTGCATGTTTTTGACTCACAGGGCGACCTTGTGTGCTTGATTGGCAATCAGCACCTCTGGCGCCAAAGAGACTGCGAGCAATAGCGAAGCGGGTAACAGCGCACCTCAACCTCGAAATGCTGGCCACAGTCACTATCACCTCACCTCACGGCCCGCCCTGTCGCCCTCATGCCGCCGGGTACTATCACCTCGCACTACGTCAGCCGCCCACACTCATGCTGCCCCCATTCACCACACAGCGCTCCTTTGTGGCCTTGCTTATCAATCACCGCCATGGCCATCGGTGTGTGAGTGTGTATGTGGCTGCTGGCATGTGACCCGTGACTGTGGTGATGTGGCGAGAGGCAAGCACAGTAGAAGCGTCTGGTACAAGCTTGCCACCTCCTTCAGTGCTTGTACCCGTCATGATCTTCCTCTGCCTATTCTCGCCTCCACTTCCGCTCCTTCTCGCACCAACAAGCGGGACACTTCTTCCCCAGCGCGCATCAGCAGTGATGTCGTCAAGGAACATACAGTCATCAGCCTCTGCTGCCTACCAGCTCTTCCTTCCCTTCGCCAATGTAAGTAGGCTCCCCTCTCAGGGGCTCGGATGCACCCTGCCAGCCGCTCCTCCTGAAGTGGAGACCCAGCCCTGCAACTAGCTGCTGCATGCGCTGCATGCCATTTAGTTCCTCAATATAATATATATAATATAATATAATATAATATATATACGAATCAAGAGAACAAAGGCTTAATCTCAGAGGATCGTAGAAACAAGTCTACTCTGCCCCTTACAATACCCCGTTCTTTATATAAGTCGTCGGCACAGGATCCGGCGGGCCAAAGTCTGAAATTCCCACCAGTCGGAGCGCTCGGTGAGCCTCGCGAATAAACAAAAAAAAAGACAAGCCCAGTAACTCCGGAGGACACAAAACTCCACCCGAGTGGAGACCCAGCCAGTTCAGGTCAAGGTCAACTGGGTGTTAGGCGCTTCAACCAAAGCTTCCACTGTCGTACTCGGCCGCCTCCTGCTGGTAGCGAACTGCCAAGTCACGCACCCTTGAGCTGGCTTCGGCGTACTCCATCTCCTCGCACCCACGCTCATAGTACCTGCGACTTGAAAGTGAGCATGAACGTGGAACACGCACGATGACTCCAAAAGAAAAATCCTTAACATACGCGCGGAGTGTGTGACGTACAGGTAGACTTTGCGCCTGAACATGGCGTTGAAGATCTTGTACGATGTCTCCAGGGAGTGTCGCACGCTGGTCGAATTGGAGACGAGCGTGCAGCTGCCTCGCGGCAGGCGACTGCCTTTCTCGCCCGTGGTCGTGGCCGTCACAGCAGTCGTTCCCGCCACGTCAGCCTCACGGCTACCGAATGACGGGCTCGGTCGCGGGTGCCACCGCCCGAAGGAATGCTTGGCATTGTCGGCGACCCAGGGCACAT